AATAACAGGAGGTTTGTCAATATAAGTAACATAATAGTAATATAATAGTAAAATAATAGAACAGTTCTATTATTTTATTTTTAGTTATAAAGACTAAAAGTAAAATAATAGAACTATTCTATTATTTTACTATTATGTTACTATTATGTTACTTATATTGACAAACCTCCTGTTATTTTACTATTATGTTACTATTATGTTACTTATATTGACAAACCTCCTGTTATTTTACTATTATTCTGCTGTTATACTACTGTTATGCTATCATTATTAGGCAGATATAAGGTAGAATAATAGCAGATTTTTTTTCTCTTATTTACCTATTATTCACTATTTATTTATTCGTTCGAACTGTATAGTATAGAACCTGTAGTTAAACTACTTAAATAAATAGCCAAAAGCTGTATGTGTAACTAGTTGCACACTCATCTTGTACAAGTTATGTAACTATAATTAAATCACAATAAAGAAACAGTAGTTGCTAATAATCAATAACTTTAATAAAAACAAAAAAAAATAATATATGTTATATATAAAACTGTAAACAATCTAGAATATCTTGTTATAATATAAATAATTTTCTTAAACCTTTATCTTAAATCATATTGATAAGTAAATACCATTAGGTCTAATAACTAACAATACTTTAATACCATTTGAAAATAACAAATACAAATATAAATATACTTTTCTTATTTATTATAATATTATTCTTACAATATATAAAAAATTTACTCTAAAATAATCTAATATGAATCTGTCTTTCTAATTTTATTACCTTTACAATCTCTAATACTAACTAAAATTAAACTAATTTTACCTTCTTTACTAAATAAAAAATATATCATTATATTACTCATAGACAATCTTTTCTCAATTATCTTATTATAAACTAGAGGTCTACTAATTATTCTAGCAAAGAATAAGTTGAGAGTAAAATAACACTTACCCTTATTTTCTCTAACTTAATTTATTTAACAAGTATCTTATATATATAAATTAACTAATTAATAAAGAAATAGAAGAGGAGGAGTGTGGTGACCTAGTGAAGTAGTCAGGTTGTCAACTCTTCAAGTGGTAGGTTGGGTATTTAAATCCTATCGACAGCAAAAATTTGGATAATCACCTATGTAATATTTGTATTACAGCAACTGTTACTAATAATTGGGTTAGAATATCTGTAATAGCGGTCATACTAGCATAACTAACAGGTCATGGGGCATCTGTGTAAGTATGACATTATACAGAGGAATGCAAACTGACAAATTAGGCGATGCAAACACTAAATAAGTCCTTATGACTATGTAAATCCATTGAAATTAGGTAACAAGAAGTCCATTTAGGAAGACCTGATTAGAGAAGTAGCTGGATCTTTGATGACCCTACTGTAAAGACTAGCTTAGAGAAATGGATACCAAGGTTGTAGTACCCAGTCATAGTAACCAGACGGGCAAGAACCTCTAGGTTGGGAGACTCAAAGATACCACCAACCAACCCACCGAAACAAACCAGAGAAAAAGGATATTAGACCAACTCAATATACTGATGGACTGGTCATAGTCTGACATGAGCTATTTGGATTAGAAATTTGGTAAAAAGGCTGGACAAAAGGCAGAGGTATACTAAAGTACTGAGATTATGCTGTGAAGTAAATACTAAAGTCTAAGTGAACTCTACAAAAGCATAGTGGTTTAATGATTAACCCTGACCACAAGTGTTGGTTCTGCCATAGTGATATCTAGATCAACTATAAAAATAGATAAAAAAGACTCTGGAGAGTTTACCTTGAGGATAAATTAGTCCTAAGGTTAAGAACGATGCTCTGTTACATCTGAGATGACCAGTGATGTTAATACAGGTTACAGGTTCAGAGGGTTTAAAGTGGAACATCCAAGCAGAAATGTTAGGTATAACAATTGGTAGGAAACCTTTGGGTGAACTCCTTAAATAGGTAATATAGAAAAGTTACATGTGTAACCAATTGTATGTTCTTCTGTAGTGGTTCATTGAACCACAATACCAATAAGTAATTAATAAAAGTCAAAAGACCAAAGAGGTCACCTTAATACCAAAAAAAAATAAAAAATAAAGAAATAGAAGATAAACCTCTCTTTTTTTTTTAATTAAAAAAAAAATACACATTATAAAGTAATTACTAAGATTAAAAGTGATTATTTGTCAGATTGCTTATGTCAGTTACTTGTCTGTTTGTATGAGAAAAGGTGAAAGTAAATAATAGATCAGAAAATAAAAATGATTACATATAAACACCCAAAGTGAAAATAATTACCAAATTTTGAAAAATTTTAGTCAGAGTAGTGCTCCGAACAGATTAGCCAAAACGACTTAAAATTGATTAGCTACTTATCAGTTTTCATGAGTAGTGTTCTGAACAGATTAACAAAATTAATCTATCATTTTGTTATGTCTTTACTTTTATATAGTCACAGCACTCTGCTAAAAATCTTCGCCATATCGATATCGATATGGTAAAATTCCGGTCAAATTTTTTTATCGTCTCTCTTAGCCAATCAAAATCGAGAATCTGCTGTGACAATTTTGTTGCGGCCAAAACTTTTGTACAACAGTAATTTTTATATAAAGTCCGATGAGAAATTCAGTCTTTAAACTTACGAAAATGGAATCGTCGTGTTCTCATATCTTCGGTTACTGTAAAATACCCTCAACTTTTACTCAAGTATATAAAGAAGAATGCACGCAATGTTTTGATTCACAGGTGATTATTTGGCTGTACAGCTTGTATCATGATTTTTTGATTTTTTTTAAATTCAATTTTTTTTTATTAGGATCTTGCACCTGGAATCGATGTGTGCTTAACTTGTTTTAATGCAGGATGCAACAATTCTGAAAGACGTCATGCCCAAATCCATTATGAAAAGACAAATCATCCATTAGTATTAAACATCTATCGATTAATCAAAGACAAGCCTAAGAGGGTACATCTAAATTATGTTAAAATACCCCGTTAACCGTTCTAGTTAATCATGACTTATTACATATAGGCTGATGAGAACGAGGAACCACCTCAAAAGATCAGTAAACTCGCAATTATACCCGAATCTGAAAATGACAAGTACGAATTTATCACACATGTAAAGTGCTATGCTTGTGGGGGTATTGAGGTCGATAGGACTTCTGGTGACGTAAGTGAAAAATATAATTTTTACGTTACATGTCCGGTCATCCAATTGTTAAACTGTTCTTTTAAAAAACAGCTGCCCGCTGTAGTCGATGCGGTGATGGCATCTATGTCAGCTGCAAAGCAATCAGAAATAAAAGCATGGGAAGAAGAAATTGTAATATGTGACCATACGCGTGACTTAGTGCAAGAACAGTCCAGAGCTTTGGAATCACAAGGTATGAAGTTGTCTGTTTTTTTGTTGAGTTTTTAGGTATTAAATATTAATATAATCCATTTTAAAATACGGTTTAAAATATTGTAGCTCTAGCACATTGTAATGACTGTGATTTAAAAAAAAATCTTTGGCTGTGCTTAGTTTGTGGCAACCTCGGATGTGGACGGCAGCAATATGATGGGTCAGGTGGAAACGGGCACGGCTTAGCTCATTATAATAAAACCAAGCATGCGATAAGTTGTAAATTGGGAACGATTACTCCAGAAGGCACTGCGGGTGAATATTTGCATTTAAAAAAAAAAGTGTTCAATTGATTTTAGGAAAATCAATTACTAAATTTAATTTAATGAATTTTCATAAGATATACACTGTTATGAATGTGATGAAACGAGATTAGACCCATTTCTGGACAAGCATTTAGCTAACTTTGGGATCAATGTCGCTTCACAACAAAAGACGGAGAAGAGTATGACGGAGCTGGTAGGTATATAACATGGTTTAACTTTCTTGTAATGTTTAGTATTATATGTAATTTTTTTTTTTAGCAAATTGAGCAAAACCAACTGTTTAGTTGGAGTATGGAAACAAAGGACGGTAAGCAACTTGAACCCTTATTCGGACCTGGTTATACTGGTATTAAAAATTTAGGTAATAGGTAAGGGTGCATTTTCATTGCATAATTTGACTATACATACATGATACCTCTCTAACTAATGATATTTTGTGAAAAGTTGCTATATGGCATCTGTTCTACAATCCATATTCTCTTTGGATGCTTTTCAACAAAGGTACGTAATGGATAATCAGATAATTTAGAACTGATCTTTATTCAAACAACTAAAATAAATTTATAAATAAGATATTATCCCACTGCTATGGAACACCATACGCAATGCACGTACGATAATCCGGCCAGCTGTATTCAGTGTCAATTATCTAAACTTGCCGATGGTTTATTGAGTGGTCGCTATTCCCAACCTACTCAGATTGTTAACAGTGAGAATGAACAACTGGAGCAAGATGGTATATCACCAAGCATGTTTAAGGCACTTATTGGGAAAGGGCATGTTGAGTTTTCCACGATGCGGCAACAAGTTTGTACCTTGTTATTTATACTCACGTGATATGGCTATTCGGACTTACATAATCGAAAGTTACGGTTATTTGTTTAAATAGGATGCTTTTGAATTTTATCAACATCTTGTTACGACAATTGAACGCAAAGAGCATAATAACCCAGGAAATGATCCAACAAAAGTATTTAAATTCGCGATTCAAACGCGTCTACAATGTGTAGAATGTAAACGAGTTCGATATAAGGACAGTACAGAGTCATCCATTTCAATATCAGTACCTGCGAATAAGATTGAAATAAATGAGAATAACGAAGCTAAATACGAGCCCGTGACTTTCGAACAATGCTTACAGTTGTTTGCTGCAGATTCGGCAATTGAATATATGTGCCCAGCATGTAATAAAAAGACTGTTGCTACGACGTATGGATACTATCATGAATTTGTTTAATTTTCATTTTGTTTATGAATTATGAACTTACTTTGGTATGCACCTTTTAGACACACAAGATTTTTAACATTTCCCGAAGTCCTCGTAGTCCATACACGAAGATTTGAAGAAGAAAATTGGGTTCCTCGTAAAATTGGTAAGAAATTTCAGTTGTATTATATTTTTTTAATTCAATATTTGTTTTATCTAAATTAATTTCAATTTTTAGCTGTTCCCATTCTTTTTGAGCAAGATTACTATAACTTTGACAAATACATTGCTCATGGGCGACAGGATCACGAAGAACTGTTTTCAGAAGAATCACCCGCAGGTTAGTATACCTTATTTATAAATATATATTGTGGCCATTAAAGTTGATACACTCGAAACTACTTTATCAGTGCCTTCAATTAATGAATCGGACCTTAATAAGTTACTTGAAATGGGTTTTCCCGAGAACAGATGCAGAAAAGCATTGATTGCTACTGGAAATAATGGAGGTGATATAGCAATGAATTGGTTGTTCGAACATATGGATGATGCAGGTTAATTTTCATTTTATAATATTACGTTTGTAATACTTATAATCTTATACTAATTTTCGTGTAAATCATATCAAGATATTGATGCGCCGATTTCAGGTTCAACAGCTGTATCTAATGTACAGGAACCTTCGGAAAACGATGTCTCCATACTAATGACTATGGGATTCTCAGAAGCACGAGTTAGAAAAGCCTTATCAGAGACGGTTAGTCATATTTATTCACATTTCTTATTGAGATCATGTTCCAATCCATATATTAACTGGCAATTCTTTTTCAGAATAACGACGTTGAACGTGCTGCTGACTGGCTCTTTAGCCATCCTGAAGATGTGTCTGATAGTTTACAAGTTGATGACAATAACATCACTAACACTTTTGGAGGTTATTAATATTTATAATTCATCAAATTTGGCTTTGTGTAATTGATTTTTTTTATAATCTGAATAAAATTTATCATTTTAGATTCTACTTTACCCGCCGATTATCAACTTCAGAGTGTCATTTCTCACAAAGGCACATCTGTACACTGTGGTCACTATGTTGTTCACACACGTAAGGATCAAAAGTGGGTTTTGTTTAATGACAGCAAAGTTGTAGAAGATCCTCAACCTCCTCTTGAAGATGCTTATGTCTATATTTTGAGGAGAGTGCGCTTTCCAGATATGAGTGCCTAAATTATTTCAATTTTAACTGGAATTCAGCTATGTTCTAAATAAAAAATTAACATTGATACAGTTAAAAAATAATCAAATAAAAATAACCCTTTTAATATATTTTTGGTTAGTGTAATTAGTTATGTGGTAATTTAGGTCAAAATCCCGGAAATCAAATCCTGAAACTTGATTATCGCTCTGATTGGTGTCGATTCAAACTGCGATTATGATTAGTAATCATTATTACAATCATAAGTGTAGTTGCGTACACTTATTTTTGCAAGTGATGCAAACCCAAAAAAAGGAAGTTTTTCTATGTAGATCGCAAGATCAGGTGCAATATTTGTGTAGCGTGAAGTCGAAGGTTTTTTCAAAGCACCGCCGGTAACTCGAAAATTATGCATTCTGATAAAAAAATTCCTGGCCAAATTTTACTATACAACGTTCATTATTCCAGCCCTGACCCTAATCCTAACGCTGGTCAAATTCCACGTGCTTTTAGCAACATTTATAGTAAACTCTATTAATAACCATAAGGATTTTTGTCGTTCATTTTTTTTCCCTGTCTTTGGAAAATGATTTTTATTCAAGTTTATATGGTCACGAGAATCTTCAAGAGTTCCTTTACATAGGAGGTTATAACTAGTTATATGTTTAATTTAAGTAGTTTGTTCATATATTATTATATAGGTTTTACATTAGATGTTATATCTATAAGTTAATTATAGGATTTGCTTATTTAAAACTTTTGCATATAAAATTTATTTTGTATTATAGAACATTTTTCAGATTATCTTATTTAAGTTTTGATGTTTATTAATATTTTTAGGATTATTTTATTTTTAACAAAAAACTTATTAGAATTTTTTATATTTTATATATAGTTGATTTAGGTTTACTATTTTTATACATTTTATTAAGACTTTAGTAGTTAATATAAAAATTTAATTTTTTTAAAGTTTTTAATTGGAGGGAGGTTTTTTTTTTTATTAACATAATATTTAAATAAAACTTTTTTATATATAGAAACATAAAGTTCTAAAATTAAAGATTTCTAAATTACATTTGTATCACTATTTGGTATTTAATATAATATTATATTCCTTATTTTTTATAAGTATTATTGTTAATTAGTTTCTAATTAGGATAAATTAAAAAAAATCTAAGTGATTGTTTAAATATTAGTTAATGCAAATAGGTAGTAAATAATATTGTAAAAGCTATTTAGTAATAAGAAAGTTAGTATTAATAGATTAAAAAAAGTTGTTAAATTGTTTAAAGAGTTGGGTAAAGTTGGTAAAATTATTTTAGTATGTTTGAATTTTAATATAATATTGCAAGATTGTTCTTATTAAGATTGATATATATTACAAATAAATTAAAGATTTTAATGAAACTAGTTTAATAGATTATTTGAAAGATGAAGTAAAAAATATCTTTTTGTTTGTTGATAATGTTTTGATATTATCATAAGTATTAGCAAAGAAGGTTTCAGTAATGGCATATAGAATATATTTGTATTAGAAATTTGAAAAATTAAATATAAAATTTAAAAAAGTATTTAATAATCATGATAAAGTTGTATTAGTAATTTGAAATGATAAGCAAGTATTATATATAGTATTATTAATTAATTGTAAAATATTTATAGAATTGTTAGAACATAAAAATAGATAAAGAGTATCTTTAATATTTGTGTAATAAGAGCAGTTAGATATAATATAAAGATAAAAGTAACAAATATTAAGGTTTTGTATAATAAGTAAGTTATTAGTAAGAATTTTGATATGAAAAGAGTATTTTTGTAAATTATTTTACAATAAGAAAAAGATTTTGAATTTGAGTACTTATTTAATGTTAATAATATTTTAAAAGAATTCAGATATAATTATTTAGCAATTTTTTAAATAGTTATAATATTTTTAATAAAGATGCAAACTTTAAAAAAATTAAATCTCACCTTAACATCAAAAAAAAAAAAACTAAAAATAAAAAAATTAAATAGTTGTTCTATATAAAATAATTTGAAATATTGAATTTTAAGTTATTGAATTTAATAATGAGTTTTGCAGTTTCTTGTTTAGTAAATAAATTTGCTTGGTTGTAAAAAGAGTCTGTAAAATATGATTTAACTTTGTAAAGGGTAATGATATGTTTTTAAGATGTTTAAGATAATTAATATAATAAATAGTATACCAGTTTTTAGTTTGTATAGATTTAAAAATAATAATTAAAATTTTTGATTGTAGTTATATTATTAATATAAATATTTAGTGAGCTATTAGATAGAACTACAAGTAAAAGAGAAAGAATTGCTTCAAATTTAGTATGAATTAAATTAGAATAAGACTAAATAGCTGTACTAAATTTTATAAATATATTATATTTACAAATTTATCTTATACCAGATTTAATATCTGGAGTTTAAATATTTTTAATTGATTTGTTGATATAAAATTATAATTTATTTCTATTAAGTTGAATGATAAAATGATTAAGATTAATTAACTGTTTTTGATATAATTGTGTATAAACAATTTGTTAAATGAATTGGGTTTTATATAAAAATAAGGTTATTTGTTGTTATAATAAAATAGTTAGTAGATGATAATATTATATATATAAGGCTATGCAAACTCATATAATTGGTTCTCATAACCAGGCGGGTCACTTTCTCTAAAAATTAAAATTTTAATTTTTTTTTTTATATATAGTTAAATTTTTTGTCAATATACAAAAAAAAAAAAATTTTTAAAAAAAATTTTAATTATGTAAAAAATTTTTTATATATAAAATTTTTATGTGGCCTGTCAGGTCATTTTTTTTATTTTATGTTATGAGAACTAGAAAATCAACTTTGTATAGCCTAAATTAGAAATAGAATTTTTTTAAAATTAATTTAGATAGTTAGATTATTTAAAACAAATATTATAACCTTCATAAGACTATAATATTTATTAGCTATAAATCTAGCAATTAATATTTAAATATTTAAAGTTCTAAATATCTTGAAATATCTACTAATCTTTTATCTATTTTATTCATTATTAAAGTTCTATATAGATCTTTTAAAGAATATAAATAAAAGTGATTTGATAATTAAATAATCCTAAATCTAAATAATGCATTCTATTAATTACTGTAGCTTTATAAATGTTAATATTATTATAATTTATAAATATATTAAACTATTTATTAATATTTAATAAATATTAATAATGCTAATATATATTCAAAACAATTCAAAATATTGGGGTGTGGTGACCTAGTGAAGTGGATAGATTGTCAACCCCCAAGTGGCAGGTCTAGAGTTCAAATCCCAGTGACGGCAAAAATTTGCAATTCTTTCTTTGTTATGGCTAACTGTCTTCCGTGATTGGTTGGGATAGGATACCTGTAACCCGTGTCATACCAGCCTGACTGGAAGG